TTCAATTCCACAAGCCATTTGGGATATGGTCTGGAAGGTGTTACTCACCAGAGGTTAGACTGTAGCTACTTTCTGACTTTTGACTTATTTTCTTCTTGTTTAGATCCCTCCTACCAGACCTGGCAGAAGAACTTGTGAGAAAAGCAATAGATCCACTCTTCCCTAACCACAACAACAATGAGCCTGGCAACAACTGTCACTCTGACAGCAAAAAATGTTGTAGACCATCTGGAGGATTTTTTAAAAAGATTTAGATATTTAGGATATTTGGAAATCTTGTTTCTTAAAGCCATTAAATGCTTACGTCTTTTTTGTAGTCGAGGGATGCCATGGCGTAAATAAGACAGTATAATACTAGTAAAAATTACATTCTTGTATAACTCAGTTGAAAACAGTCATCTTTCATTCATTTCCAGCCATGAACAAGTCCTGACCTTCACTTAGGGCACTTTCCAAAAGTCAGAACTAGCTGGCCAGACTGGTCATTTTGGAGATGAAAAAAAAATTGTTTGAAATGTTAGTCTTCTCTTGAAATTTTTACCAAAAGCCATTACTGTCATGCGTACTATTTTGGAAAAAAACTGATCTGGTGGATAGTAATGAATTCTCCTTACAATTGGACCAATATGGCTAGCCAGTTCTGACAAAATGGTACGTTCCCTTGACAGGGGTATGATAAAACAAGCAACAAAAAACGTACAACTTCTGTTGTGAATTTTCTGCAAAATGAGTTGAATAGGGATGAAGCGTGTTTTACCATCTACAAAAAAAACACCTTGCAACCTTATTTGTTGCAAGACGGGTTCAAACTAGCCTGTGAGGCAGGCGTTCCATATGGGAGGGGTATGGAATTCGGGCGCCCAAAATACCCTTTCCCTTCCCTTTTGAATGCCTGCCACACAAGCTAGTTTAAACGTATGTGGTAAAACATGCAACATTGCTACTCAACTCAATTTGCAGCATTTTTTGCAAGTAAACAAGTTGCACATTCTTGGTTGCCTGTTTTACTGAACATGTAGCTTCAGTCATGCAATTCTATACTCTCTCCCAGAGAGAATCAAAACTGGACAGAATCAGCCTGTTGTATGCTCACTTGTAAAGCAAGTAATCTTTCAATGTGGATGGAATTGCCAAGCTTTTAACTTTATTACTGTAACCAGTGTGAGTTGTATCCACAATAACACATCTACAGATATCTTGTAAGGACCTTAGCCTGCATCTATATTCAAAAACCTTAATAAATTCTTTATCATCACACACCATTAACTGTCCTTTATGATTCAGATTCATTCCAACTACCTTTCGTGAATCTCCTTCAGCAGGTTTTAAACCTGAGACAATGAGTTGTGCATTGCTGCCTTCTGTTAACGACTCCAACAACACAATTTTCTCTCTCTCTGCAATAATCAGGTTTTGCCCATCATGGATAAATCCTCTCAAATTATCGATCTGATTCCCTTCTCCATCAAGCATATAATAACTAATTGTTGCTTCTTCTTGCATTTTAAATTGCTCTAATTCTATATTCTCTTCATCTTCATCTTCATCTTCATCTTTGCTTCCTTGCTGATTTCGTTTGCAGCTACGACTTACTTTTTTGCAGCCAAGACTTATTTTTGCTATTTTAATTAACGAAGAAAGGGCTTCATATTGTCCAACTTCGTATTCAGCTCTTATCACCTTACCATCTGGAGAACAACATAGCAGACCAATTTCATTATATTCTTCATCTTCTCCTTCAGGAAGTGGAACAATAATTTCCCTCATTTTAACGACTTTGAGATTGTTCCAGTCCATAAATATTTCATACAAAACAGGATCCAATTGCACCCAACTTGCCACAAGAAGGCTTTTCTGCGGGGTCAAAGCGATCACTCCAGGATCGGTCGAGGAGGGCATTTTCAGTTCAAGTTCGCAAAAATCAAATGTGTCTTTCTCAAGAGAGTAAATCTCAACTGATCCCTCGTAATATGATCCCGACTGGTAGCTTAGCGCAACACGATTGCCAGGAAGCAGTGACACGTTGAAATCTGACCGGAGGTCACATTCGGCCATCACTTCTCCACTGACATGATTCCAAACGGAGATTCCTTCATAGAAATCCACTGTCACAAATAAACCCAAAACTGGGTTGTAGGAGACACCATTTCCACTATTCACTCCTTCTGGAATCTTAACTTTTGACACACAATTGTTTGCAAGAACCTTCATATTTTCCCAAATATTTCGTTTGTACACAATGTACAGCTGGCGGGGTACACGTAAGCGCAGACTCTGTTCAAAGACCTTTTGAAACTTGCAAACATTCAGCCCAAGAGAGACTCAGTCAAGTAGACAGGGAGTCAAATCACCAAATGTAGAGCGGAAAACTGCGTCATTCAACTTTTCTGCTCAGTGCTTGACTTTCTGTGACCAACAGTAAACATGGCCGCCATCATTTTTAAAGAAATGTGAGCGGAATCTGGGGAGAGAGCAAATTTCCTCAGGTGGGTGGGGTCGGCAGTTTGTTTAATAAACACGTGTAAACGCGTGGTAAAAAATTATACCGGTAGCACTGCGCACAACGTAATGACAGCGGTGCAAATGGATCAAGGTGGACATGTAAATGGTCTACTAGATGTCCACCCACAATCTCAAATAAATTCCTCTTGTCTTACTAGCAGTAACCGATGGTTAGGAAGTGAGATAGAATGTGTCCCGTGCTCGGGATAGACCTCCCTTTTATAAGCCACATAGTGTGCCGCTCCAAAGGACATGGTGTTATCATTGTTTTGGTCTGAAAACGGGTTTTGACTTTGCCCATTTCACTCTGATCTGGAATCATGTTGGGTTTTCAAGGAAATTAACGGAGTGTATGAAAGTATTTAAAATTGTTTCAATTCCAAATGAAAAGAGGGAGAAATAATTGGTAGTGGGATCTAGGAAATCTTTTGTTGGTGTTCAAATCTATGGAATAATAACGATGGTTTGATGACATTTAGTTGGTTAGGGTGGGACAGGGGGAGGAGGGGTTTAGTGAAAAAGATAAGTCTCCAAACGTTGGCATCTCTGCAAACACAGATGGACTCTCCCCCCTTGGGCGGAGCACTTAGTCCCCAGGGCTCTCCCCCCTTGGGCGGAGCACTTAGTCCCCAGGGCTCTCCCCCCTTGGGCGGAGCACTTAGTCCCCAGGGCTCTCCCCCCTTGGGCGGAGCACTTAGTCCCCAGGGCTCTCCCCCCTTGGGCGGAGCACTTAGTCCCCAGGGCTCTCCCCCCTTGGGCGGAGCACTTAGTCCCCAGGGCTCTTCCCCCCTTGGGGGCTCTCCCCCCTTGGGCGGAGCACTTAGTCCCCAGGGCTCTCCCCCCATGGGCGGAGCACTTAGTCCCCAGGGCTCTTCCCCCCTTGGGGGCTCTCCCCCCATGGGCGGAGCACTTAGTCCCCAGGGCTCTTCCCCCCTTGGGGGCTCTCCCCCCATGGGCGGAGCACTTAGTCCCCAGGGCTCTTCCCCCCTTGGGGGCTCTCCCCCCTTGGGCGGAGCACTTAGTCCCCAGGGCTCTTCCCCCCTTGGGCGGAGCACTTAGTCCCCAGGGCTCTCCCCTTGGGCGGAGCACTTAGTCCCCAGGGCTCTTCCCCCTTGGGCGGAGCACTTAGTCCCCAGGGCTCTCCCCTTGGGCGGAGCACTTAGTCCCCAGGGCTCTCCCCCTTGGGCGGAGCACTTAGTCCCCAGGGCTCTTCCCCCCTTGGGCCGGAGCACTTAGGGGGCTCCCCCCTTGGGCGGAGCACTTAGTCCCCAGGGCTCTCCCCCTTGGGCGGAGCACTTAGTCCCCAGGGCTCTTCCCCCCTGGGGGGCACTTAGTCCCCAGGGCTCTCCCCTTGGGCGGAGCACTTAGTCCCCAGGGCTCTCCCCCTTGGGCGGAGCACTTAGTCCCCAGGGCTCCTCCCCCTTGGGCGGAGCACTTAGTCCCCAGGGCTCCTCCCCCTTGGGCGGAGCACTTAGTCCCCAGGGCTCCTCCCCCTTGGGCGGAGCACTTAGTCCCCAGGGCTCCTCCCCCTTAGTCCCCAGGGGGCGGAGCACTTAGTCCCCAGGGGCTCCCCCCTTGGGCGGAGCACTTAGTCCCCAGGGCTCCCCCCTTGGGCGGAGCACTTAGTCCCCAGGGCTCCCCCCTTGGGCGGAGCACTTAGTCCCCAGGGCTCCCCCCTTGGGCGGAGCACTTAGTCCCCAGGGCTCCCCCCTTGGGCGGAGCACTTAGTCCCCAGGGCTCTCCCCTTGGGCGGAGCACTTAGTCCCCAGGGCTCCCCTTGGGCGGAGCACTTAGTCCCCAGGGCTCCCCCCTTGGGCGGAGCACTTAGTCCCCAGGGCTCCCCCCTTGGGCGGAGCACTTAGTCCCCCCAGGGCTCCCCCTGGGCGGAGCACTTAGTCCCCAGGGCTCCCCTTGGGCGGAGCACTTAGTCCCCAGGGCTCCCCTGGGCGGAGCACTTAGTCCCCAGGGCTCCCCCCCTTGGGCGGAGCACTTAGTCCCCAGGGCTCCCCCCTTGGCCGGAGCACTTAGTCCCCAGGCTCCCCCCTGGGCCGGAGCACTTAGTCCCCAGGGCTCCCCCCTTGGGCGGAGCACTTAGTCCCCAGGGCTCCCCCTTGGGCGGAGCACTTAGTCCCCAGGGCTCCCCCCTTGGGCGGAGCACTTAGTCCCCAGGGCTCCCCTTGGGCGGAGCACTTAGTCCCCAGGGCTCCCCCTTGGGCGGAGCACTTAGTCCCCAGGGCTCCCCCCCCTTGGGCGGAGCACTTAGTCCCCAGGGCTCCCCCTTGGGCGGAGCAGTCTTAGTCCCCCCCAGGGCTCCCACTTAGTCCCCAGCTCCCCCCCTTGGGCGGAGCACTTAGTCCCCAGCTCCCCTCCCCTTGGGCGGAGCACTTAGTCCCCAGGGCTGGGCTCCCCCCTTGGGCGGAGCACTTAGTCCCCAGGGCTCCCCCTTGGGCGGAGCACTTAGTCCCCAGGCTCCCCCTTGGGCGGAGCACTTAGTCCCCAGGGCTCCCCCTTGGGCGGAGCACTTAGTCCCCAGGGCTCCCCCTTGGGCGGAGCACTTAGTCCCCCTCCCCTTGGGGGAGCACTTAGTCCCCAGGGCCCCCCTTGGGCGGAGCACTTAGTCCCCAGGGCTCCCCCTTGGGCGGAGCACTTAGTCCCCAGGGCTCCCCTTGGGCGGAGCACTTAGTCCCCAGGGCTCCCCCTTGGGCGGAGCACTTAGTCCCCAGGGCTCCCCTTGGGCGGAGCACTTAGTCCCCAGGGCCCCCTTGGGCGGAGCACTTAGTCCCCAGGGCTCCCCCCTTGGGCGGAGCACTTAGTCCCCAGGGCTCCCCCCCCCTTGGGCGGAGTCCCCAGGGCTCTTTGGGGTCCCCAGGGTCCCCTCCCCCCTTGGGCGGAGCACTTAGTCCCCAGGGCTCCCCTTGGGCGGAGCACTTAGTCCCCAGGGCTCCCCCTTGGGCGGAGCACTTAGTCCCCAGGGCCCCCCTTGGGCGGAGCACTTAGTCCCCAGGGCTCCCCCTTGGGCGGAGCACTTAGTCCCCAGGGCTCCCCCCCTTGGGCGGAGCACTTAGTCCCCAGGGCTCCCCTTGGGCGGAGCACTTAGTCCCCAGGGCTCCCCCCTTGGGCGGAGCACTTAGTCCCCAGGGCTCCCCCTTGGGCTCCCCTTGGGAGCACTCCCCAGTCCCCTTGGGCGGGCACTTAGTCCCAGGGCTCCCCTTGGGAGCACTTAGTCCCAGGGCTCCCCCCTTGGGCGGAGCACTTAGTCCCCAGGGCTCCCCCCTTGGGCGGAGCACTTAGTCCCCAGGGCCCCCTTGGGCGGAGCACTTAGTCCCCAGGGCTCCCCCCTTGGGCGGAGCACTTAGTCCCCAGGGCTCCCCCTTGGGCGGAGCACTTAGTCCCCAGGGCTCCCCCCTTGGGCGGAGCACTTAGTCCCCAGGGCTCCCCCTTGGGCGGAGCACTTAGTCCCCAGGGCTCCCCTTGGGCGGGAGCACTTAGTCCCCAGGGCTCCCCCTTGGGCGGAGCACTTAGTCCCCAGGGCTCCCCTTGGGCGGAGCACTTAGTCCCCAGGGCTCCCCCCTTGGGCGGAGCACTTAGTCCCCAGGGCTCCCCTTGGGCGGAGCACTTAGTCCCCAGGGCTCCCCCTTGGGCGGAGCACTTAGTCCCCAGGGCTCCCCTTGGGCGGAGCACTTAGTCCCCAGGGCTCCCCTTGGGCGGAGCACTTAGTCCCCAGGGCTCCCCCCTTGGGCGGAGCACTTAGTCCCCAGGGCTCCCCCCCTTGGGCGGAGCACTTAGTCCCCAGGGCTCCCCCTTGGGCGGAGCACTTAGTCCCCAGGGCTCCCCCTTGGGCGGAGCACTTAGTCCCCAGGGCCCCTTGGGCGGAGCACTTAGTCCCCACTTAGTCCCCAGGGCTCCTTAGTCTGGGCGGAGCACTTAGTCCCCAGGGCTCCCCCTTGGGCGGAGCACTTAGTCCCCAGGGCTCCCCCCCTTGGGCGGAGCACTTAGTCCCCAGGGCTCCCCTTGGGCGGAGCACTTAGTCCCCAGGGCTCCCCCTTGGGCGGAGCACTTAGTCCCCAGGGCTCCCCTTGGGCGGAGCACTTAGTCCCCAGGGCTCCCCCTTGGGCGGAGCACTTAGTCCCCAGGGCTCCCCCCTTGGGCGGAGCACTTAGTCCCCAGGGCCCCCCCCTTGGGCGGAGCACTTAGTCCCCAGGGCTCCCCTTGGGCGGAGCACTTAGTCCCCAGGGCTCCCCCCCTTAGTCCCCAGGGGGCAGCACTTAGTCCCCAGGGCTCCCCTTGGGCGCAGCACTTAGTCCCCAGGGCTCCCCCTTGGGCGCAGCACTTAGTCCCCAGGGCTCCCCCTGGGGCAGCACTTAGTCCCCAGGGTCCCCCTTGGGGGCACTTAGTCCCCAGGGCTCCCCCCCCCTTGGGCGCAGCACTTAGTCCCCAGGGCTCCCCTTGGGCGCAGCACTTAGTCCCCAGGGCTCCCCCCCTTGGGCGCAGCACTTAGTCCCCAGGGCTCCCCCCTTGGGCGCAGCACTTAGTCCCCAGGGCTCTCCCCCCTTGGGCGCAGCACTTAGTCCCCAGGGCTCCCCCCTTGGGCGCAGCACTTAGTCCCCAGGGCTCCCCCCTGGGCGCAGCACTTAGTCCCCAGGGCTCCCCCTTGGGCGCAGCACTTAGTCCCCAGGGCTCCCCCCTTGGGCGCAGCACTTAGTCCCCAGGGCTAGTCCCCTTGGGCGCAGCACTTAGTCCCCAGGGCTCCCCCTTGGGCGCAGCACTTAGTCCCCAGGGCTCCCCCCCTTGGGCGCAGCACTTAGTCCCCAGGGCTCCCCCCTTGGGCGGAGCACTTAGTCCCCAGGGCTCCCCCCCCCCTTGGGCGGAGCACTTAGTCCCCAGGGCTCCCCCCCCCCTTGGGCGGAGCACTTAGTCCCCAGGGCTAAGAAAAAAACTATCTAGATAAACTTAGCTTGTTACTTACCTTTTTTGGTCTGTTTATAGTTATAGTTAGTGTCTGGCGGTCTTTTGACTACTTTTTTGTTATAATTCTCTTGGTTTTTTTTTCCTGTTCATTTTACGTTTTTGTTTTTGGTTCACGCTGAGGAATTTAGCTCCGGGTAAGGTTTCGTTTTCTGTACGAAACCGAACCTTGTTTACTGAATTCGAAAGTGTAAACTTCTTTTAGATTGTGACATTTTGCTCTGTCAGGCGTGAAGCGGTTTAATTTATAACTAAATACAACTTGCAGTTGTTTTGGTGTATATACCAAACCAGAATTGTCAGAGAGAACAAAAAACACACATCAAAATTATTGAAAAGAAAGATGTAAAATGAAAAGAAATATAGCTTATTTGCTGAGCTTCGTGACCTTATTAAAATAATGACTGAGCGCGTACTTTTCCATCTTTTTTGAACCAGTAGGTTATTATTATGCGGTCACTGAATTGAAACAGTAGGTTATTATTTCTAAGAATGATCTTCTATTCCACCTCAACGACTTGTTCTTTAAATTTATCTAAAATAATAACCTGTTCAAAAGAATGGAAAATTGCATGAAGACCCGACTAACCGACTGTGTTGTGCAAAAAATTAACTTACCATAGGTTTGGTATATACTGAATAAATGACAGACAGACAAATGAGTTAGCTGCATATCCTTTTTTAGGACCGTGGCAGTACTTTTATTGTTATTTTGAAGACTTTCTTGGAAGGCAAATTGTTCTGCTTTTCTTCATGGTCAGGCAGTACCTGTTACAAAATGGAAAGAGTTAGTTGTTGTTGTAAATACTACCCTACTAACGTGTTAAAAATTGCACTCGGAATTAACCTTATTTCACACCTGTCTTGCCCCTCTGTCGACTATTATCTTATGTCAGCCTGAATCGTCCCGGGAAGCATTGTAATTCTCTCCCGGCGCAAACTAAGCACTCTTCGCCAAAATTGCTAACAGTTGGTTTGTTGCACCCCGGTTGTGCGGCATAAAAGCATAATTTACCTTTAAATCGTACATTAACTTATAAACTCGCGGTTAATCAAATATAAAAGCATATAGTCTGAGTCAGAGTAATAAAAAACTGTCCGAAGTTTGAAGTTTATTTTGTAAGTGGAGTCTACAGAAGTGAACACTTCTTTAATCACAGCGAAAAATTCTAACTACATAGTATCAACAAAATAGGCCTATTTGACCCTAACAATTGCAACTCCACTTTATCTTGTTGACTACACGTAAGCCTTTATTACAGTTTTGTCCCTCCAGTTCAACATTCATCGAGCCAACATAACGAAGGGACCATGCATGTTTACAAGTAACTTCGGGCGACACATTGAAGAACACTAAGAGGACAGAATTATGACAAAAAATCCGTTATGTAAAGTCTAAAAGAATAATTTCTTTCTGCAGTAAAAATAACCAGTAAGAACCGTTAAGGCAATTTGGACACTTATCACCGTTTCTTTAAATTGAGTAATTTTTTTCAGAAAAAAAAGCGAACGATAGCGTAGCCAAAAGTTAAAGTTGAACTAAGAACAAACCTGTTGTTTTCGAGGAGGCAACAGAGAATCTTATTCAAGACCAGAGATTGCTCTTCACTTCACCGCAGGCAAAAAGCAAGTACGGAGGTTTCTGGCTTTAATGGCAGTTAAATCAACTTGAAATTTGTGTCTCCATTTATACGGTCGCTCGATTAAAATTCAAACCAGTGTGAGAAATGTTTTTGAAAAATCTTTTCTTGAAACTGTATATGAGAAAAGCACGCACACTATGTTCAACAATGGGCAATCAAAGCATAGATTGGTCACATTAAAAAAAAAAACGTTTGGGAAGTTTGCCGACTTGCTCAATTACATAACATAGCTCTTGGTTGAAAACAGTATATACTAGCAGATAAGCATGGGACTTGATAATACATTGAGAAGAATAGCACTCAGTTCATCAATGAACAATTAGACTAACACTTCAATTAGACGCATTCAGAACAAAAAAAATGCCGACTTGATTAAAACTTGACAAATCCATGATAAAACTAGCTAGTGAATGAGTAGACAATAGGCCTTTCGCCCCAAGAGAAATTGAAAACAATGCTAATGCAAAACTTTGGAGGGACAACAAAGCGTATTATGGTATTTTTGAAAAAGGACTATTACCGTGTGAATTACCACAAGCTTGCCCCTGAATAAATTTGAAGGTACCGGGAAAGAAACGTACAAACTTTCCAAACTTCTCGTTAGACAATAAAAGCGAAGAAAGTTGAGGAAAACTAGTGTTAAAGCCGAATTGCTAGCACAAGAACCATTTTGACTCCTAACATTTGATTGCTCATTGATGTTGATCACCACTATCAGTTTGACAAAACTAATGAGTATGCGAAGACTACAATAGCCTGTTTTGCACCCGCACGTCACGACTAAAGTTAAAAGTGCGAAAAAGCGAGAATACAACTTTTTGGTAGGCAAAAATCATCATTCATTCGAAAAGCGCAGCAAGTTGAGGAAAACTCTTAGGATGGGTTGAAAAGTTTGTGGAGTAATGAATGATGCCAACATTTCATGGTGTTAAACCAAACGAACAGAATTGCATACTTAAAAAAATATCCTGGAAGGGCTGGTTAACTACCCATAGTGAACTTTATGGTAAAAGTGACCACTAAGTACCATTCAAAACAGAAGAATTTCACTTTCTGGACATGTTTTCTCCAGCGCAACAGCTGATTATAACATAGGTGAGAGGGCTAAAAAAGTCCGACATCTACATTACATGATAGACACTGTTGCGGGATACTGAGCTGGACAGCATTAGAGATCGAACCTTATGAGGCCAGTTGTCTTTCCGTCATCTTGAAGAGGCATCAACAAGAAGAAATGAGAAAGAGAGTTCATGTAAGTATTGAAAGAAATACAATCCTGTGTGTACGGTACATTTTTTTACTATCAAAATCTCCCAAATAAGAAGAGGAAATGAGAAAATCTCTTTTTCTTCCCATCAACCCTCCATTACATTACTCTACCAGTCTTGCACTAATTGGAAGTGAAAATCTACTATCCTTGAGGGAAAATGAGGGACTACTCGTAGTTTACAATTTTTGTAGCAGTACCATGATGGGCCGTTGCTGAGGTGATAATAGGGACCTTAAGATCCGAGGACGGCGACGGCAGAGAAAACGTCGCTGAAAAAGTGAATTCGTGTTCTTTCAATCTTCATCGCGATTACTCCAAGTCACTAACTTCTTCAAATGTAGGCGAACCATCCTAAAGTTGAATTCCTAAGAACCATAGCCAAGTACAGAAAGAGAGAGGAAATTTAGCCGTCGCTTGTGTACTTCCTCTGTACAACGTTAAATTAGGTATTTTCACGTCGTAGTCGTGCAGTGACGGCAAAGAAATGTACAAAAAAGCGTGATGCACGTGCAAAATTGTTGTTTTGCTAATTAAACCTATTGCTTTTGTGGCGTTCCCGTTGCCGTCGCCGTCGTCGGATCTTAAGGTCCCTAATACGTGGGGGGGGGGATACTCCGGTAATTCGGATGGAAGTGTGCTGCATGCTATCTGCAACACGTAACCCATTTCAGACTAACTGGCACGATTTGCTAAGCAGTGTAAATAAAGATCACTTTAACAAGCACCTTTTGCAACTTATTTACAATGTACTTACAGTAACATCAGCAGACGATCAAATATGTGACAAAAACATATTTTATTTAGTTACTTAGACACGTCCTGGCTTTCTGTAACTACTACTTCTTTTTTTTCTTCTTCTTCTCTGAAGGCGTGATGGATTTGTCTTCACCCTTTCGTTTTTCTGCATTCTTGTTAGCTTTGGGCAAAGGATATTAGTAACAGTCAGTACAAGTAGACCCGTATGCTGACCCATTTTAAAGGTTCGATTTCAGTTTATTATCGAACAGCGACTGACAGGCTAGCCATAATTGTAACACGCACATGCCCTACCCGCCCCGCTTTCAGAGGTACTAGTTACCCCAGAGCCAACTATAGACCTGGTGTACAACCATTTATCTGAAAATAAGTTGAATTTGCGTGTGAATGAAAAGCTATTTCATATAACAGGATGAACACCAGGACTGGATTCGAAAGCAAGTGTTGAGGTACAATGTTAATTCATAAATGCCTTACTACGATTAATTCCTAGTTTTACGACTTTCTTGCAATGTTAGTTTAACAAGGCTATTTGTAAGCAAAGGGATATCGAGGTGGCCTTTCCCACAAGCAGGAGAGGTCTCGCCAAAAACAAGCTAAACACTTATGCGATAGTGCGATTTCGCACAATTGACCTCAAATCGCATCCGATCGCCAAAGGCAAGCTAAAAACTTCTTGTATTTCAGTAAAGCAAATTATTGATAATGATGATGTTGAGGCTAATCCTCCTCCTCCTTTTCATGATGAGAAGGAGGAGGAGGAGGAGGAGGAGAAGGAGGAAGATAATCAAGGCGCTGATGAAGAGAAGATGACAATAAGAGAGAATAACAATGATGATGATGATGATGATGAAGAGGAACTAATGAGAGTATTTACTTGGCGTGTGGATGGTCATGAGTACAAGCTACCGATGAAAAAGATTTTAGTTTGCTCCAGCTCACAGCAATCACGACTAGTGGTAATTACAGTTGATGTTTTCAATTTGAGTATAGTTAAAAAAAAAAAAACTGAACAAATTTAGGCTCGGCTGAAATTCAAATCCTGGACCTTTATGATGATTGGACACAAATGAATGGACGGACAGAAAGGAAGAGACTGGCTACTTTACACTCTGGTGGAGTGCATGATGGCTAAGAAGAGTAAATTGGTATGAAACTATAAAGCCAAAAATAACACCATTGTCAATTCTTCCTAGTCAATAAAAATACACACTTGGCACACACCCAACACAAGATGAGCATCCAAGCGATAGGGATCTCACGCTTGATGAATAATGCACATTGATTTACATTATTTTTGTGCCCTCTTTAGTATACAAGGTTCAGCAGGCACCCTCATTGATTTAAATGATACTGGCAAATGTTTGATTCACCGTCTTTGCTTGACGTTTCCCCTCCATCTTGTAAAGAATCCTTTTTATCTGCACGCCAAACAAAATAATTTCTAAACTAGGTAATAACCAAAGGTTAGGGAGTGCAGGCGACAACGATCAGAAGTCCAAACGCTTTTGCTTCACGGCTGTGCTTTGCGTTAGTTTCACGTGACAGTTGATCAAAACACATGTGATCAGATGATGAGGGGTAGGAAGTCGAAACGCGCATGATCAAATTGCATTTTGTGCATTCCATTCATACTTAGTGGAAATCTAAATGAATGCTGGCTACATATATGCGACGCATGCGTTATAACAACCTGGAGATTAGGATTGTGGGCTCCTCTTGTTATCCACAATGAAACACAACAACTTACGTGTGCAAGTTAATCAAATGCAAGTAATTGACAGAAGATCATCTTAGTTGTAGACACAACAGTTGTAGCATTCAGTTGTTAATTTGCATATTTTTTAGGGACGTGGCTTATTCAAACAGAAGCCAGTAGACTTTGAATGAAAAGTCAAACTTAGCGCTGTCCACACGCATTTCTAAACTGCAGTAGCTAAGTAAAAACTGTTTGTAAAGTCAAACTGCAGACATATGACATGTGGTTTCAGTTTCTTTTATCACACAAAGTGCAATTACTCTATGTATGCTATAATGGATAGTTTACTTTGTCTACATGAAAAAATTAATACTCTGACCTGGTATATGAACACCTGCTCATACTGCCGTGAAGGGTGGCAGTTAGTGGTGATCCACTTTCAAGATTGCATCCGCGAATTCTGCTTCAGTACAGAAACCACTGTGCACAAAAGCCCTATCTGACATGGTTTCCATGCAGGGACAAGAGCTATCTGTCACTGTAGACATTAATTATTCTACTTTAAGTACAACACATGCACAAAATGCATGTGTCACTATAACAGTGAACTTTCTATAGTTACCTGATGGATTCCACAACGCACTCTTCACAAATCTCTTAGAAGCACCCTTATCAATCCTTAGAGATGCTATGACAAAACAAATTTTAAAAAAAATTATAATAATTCTCCCCTCTCTTTAATCAACCCTCAAACTGCCCCTTATAAGCTCCCCTACCTGTAAACAAAACAATACATCTAAACTTTGTAAATCAAAAGCAACAGGTCTTGACAATATTTCTGGCAAGTTTCTGAGTGTTCTGTGATTTGATTTCTGAATCATTGTTGTGTCTATTTAATTTGTCAATTAAAAAGAAAATATTTGCGATCAGTGGAAAAGCCCATGAGTTACTCTACTCTACAAGAATGAAGGAAATCGTTCAGATATGACTAATTATCGCCTGATATCAATCATCCCAGTGATTGCAAAGATTTTTGAACACATAATTTATGATTAGCTGTATAAACGCTTGACAGATAGTAAACTACTGTCAAGTCATCAATCCGGCTTTCATTCTGCTCACTCTACCATTACTAATTAAGGCAATTGAAAGTTGGTCATTGAATATTAACCAGGGCCCAGTCGTTCAAAAGCCGATTAGCGCTTAACCCGGGGTTAAATTTAACCCGGATTTCTTTGTCTGGTGTTCAAAAGCATTTTATTGCATAATTTTCTCTGTTATTTTTAAAGCTTCCAATCATCAACCTGTAGACAAAAAGAATTAAAACTGAAATGCTTTTTAAGCTTTCAAATCTGAATTCAAATCTTGCACTAACCCTGGGTTATCTTAACCCAGCTTTGAACAACTCAGCACAGGGCAACATTAATGCTGTTGTCTTTCTGGACCTCAAAAAGGCTTTTGATAGGGTTCATCATACCGTACTGCTATTTAAAACTTAACTGTTATGGTATGACCGGCCTCAAAGGAGACTGGTTCAGGTCATACCTTAGTAGTCGTACACAGTCCTGTGCAGTTAACAACTGTAAGTTGGGAAGACATTTGTTACAAGTGGTGTGCCTCAGAGGACCATTTTAGGCCCCTTATTATTTTTATTTTACATAAATGACTTGCCCAATTGTTTGCGTCACTCTCAAGCGAAAATGTACACCAACGATACCACCATTACCTATGCTGGCACTGACATCAACAATAATATTAATGAGCGGCTTAATTATGATCTGAACAAGATCTATGTTTGGCTTGCAGCTAACAATTGTGCTAAACATAAAAAAACTGAGTTTCTACTAATTGGTTCAAGACAGAAACTATCTAATGTATCGGACAAAATAATATTGTTATCAATGACACTCCAGTTAAACAAGTCTTAGTTTCTAAATTCCTTGTGTAAAAAATTGACCAGAACCTGAATTGGGATGACCATTATTATTCTGATGTTTTCTAAAAAGATTGTGTCTGGCATTAGTGCAATTATAAGCACATCAGAAACTTTGTTCCTTGTGAAACCCTCCTCACTATTTATCACGCTCGTGTACAGCCTCACTTCAATAACTGCAGAGCAGTGTGGGGAAATTGTTAATAACGGCCTCTCCGAGAAGCTGTAGAAAGTACAGAACTGCGCTGCTCGTATAATCACAACATCAAATTACGATGCTAGCCTGGATGAGCTCTTTCAGTCCCTCAACTGGCATAAACTTGAGCTGCTACGTAAGTTCAATTTATCTATTCTTTTGTATAAGGCTCTTAATAATGAAACTCCTGAGAATTTGAGCTCAAAATTTATTAATCGTATGGACTTAAGCCTTATAACTTAAGAAATACAGTAAACAAACTGACAGTACCACTTCCCCATACTGAAACCTTCAAAGAGAGTTTCAGTTATAGTGGAGCAGTGTTGCTGAACAGATTACCGGATCATTTAATGTAGGAATCGTCCCTGAAAAATTTCAAATCAAATATTCGTTGCCAAAATCCCCAGAGTAAGCTGGATTTTAATTATCGTTGTTCTTGTAAAGCAGGAAGTTCTCACTTTACGCTTATTGTTAGTTCTTTGTGATAGCCTGAAGGACTTATCCTAGGACCCGCCCCCCCCACCCCCCAGATATAAGTCCCCTCTAAAGGGCCAGTGTTTACATGGAGGTGGGGGACCCCAGGTAGGTGAGGTAACCTAATTAGACTGGCCCTAAATGTATTTAAATGTAAAATTTGATTTATTATGACATTTTGAAGCTTAAACCACCAGGAAATGCAAGGCAAATTTTGACCAGCACTGTTTAGCTCTGTTCTGGTTGCACCAGCACTGCTATAGCTCTGTTCTGGTTGTATACAAGTACAGCTACAGGTTTGATCTGGTTGTACCAGCACTGCTATAGCTCTGTTCTGGTTGTACCAGCACTGCTATAGCTCTGTTCTGGTTGTAAGCCATGCAGGCTAAGGGATCAGAGGAGATACTGACCTTCTTTCTTTTCTGTTGCTTCTTTTACTTTTCCCATGTACTTCTTTATCCTGTCCTACAATGACAACAAATGGCAGCAAACAAGTTAGAGAACTATGACCTTCCTAGTGTACAACCAATGGGATACAGTTTAAACAATACTATGGACAATACAAAGGGATGAAAAGAAAAAATTATGTTGAAAAAAATATAGTCTTGTTGTGAGAATTAGTAAGGAATCATGAGTTGTGTGTTCCAGTGCCTTTTTCAAAAAATTCCATCAAGTTTTGCAGTGAAGGCATCTGTAATAATGCAAACAGCCTACCAGAATGCCAAAAACTAGCATATCTGATGTTCAGAAAGATCAAATTTCCTTGGGAAGCAAGCCCTCGAACTCCCTTGTTTATTATGTAATATAAAGCAATAACCCCACTAAAATGCAAAAAGCATACTAAATCAAACGTTTTATTGCAAAAAACAAACAAACAAACAAACAAACTTCATTTCCATAACAAAAATGAAAATGTCTCTTGCATAATTGCTATTGATCAGGAAGCTCGCAAGGTTTCTCCCGCGGTTCTTATTTGCTGGTGTCTGTTCTCTACTAATGGCCACTCAAAATGTCTATTTGATTTACTTTCAGTTCGGCATTGTTCATTTTTTCTTCATGTGTTCTTTCTCTTTCCTTTTTTTGGGGGAGGGTGGGGCAGTCAAAACATTTCTAATGAAGAGAGAGAGGTCATCATGTACTTCATGAACTGCCAGTCAATTCCTACCAGCCCCTCCTCCTCCATAAAAATGAATGGTTCCTAATAATTTTTTGTCCCATACAATTGCAGGAATTGACCACGGAGGGTTTAGGCTATCACAGCTTTCAACTGTTTGGATTCGATTTTATGGTTGATTCCCAGTTTCATGTCTGGTTACTGGAAGTTAATGGAGCACCAGCCAGTGCAAAGTAAACTAACTGGATAGTTTTCACTAGCGATGCAGTTTTAACTGGGTCCCAAGAGTGCTTTTGCATGACCTAGCGAAATAAAAGTTTGGGGTTAAGAGTGGAGTCATAAGCATCAGAGTCGTAAGAACCAGTCAACAATGCCATGTTCTGCTAACTCCGCTTAATATATGACTCCGTCACTTATGATCTAGTGAAAACCACATTGTCAGAGTCCAAAGCAGAAGCAAAAGGATAAACCAATCATGATGCTTGTTGTCATGCTTTGTGATTGGTTCAGAACTTGCAGCTCTGCTTTGTAAGTGGTTTCTGGTTAAGCATAAAAGAATTGCAGGTGTAAGAATCAGTCAGTGTTTCCTCTTCTTCCGGCCCAGCTTATGACTATGTTGCTTACGATTTAGTGAAAACCAGATTGTCAGAGTCGGAAGCAGAAGAAAAGGGTTAAACTAATGACAACGCTTTTTCCTGTGTATTGTGTTCACTTGGCCTGTTCCAGGCTCTGAGATAGTTGGGTCCACAGAATTGAGAAAGCGCAAACACAAAAACAAAATGGGAGGAAACCAGGGAGAGCTTAAACATAATCCCCACTATCTGAGAGCCTGGAACAGGCGATGACTGGTTTAGTACTTAAACTTCTGCTTGCAACTCTGATAACCTAGACATCACTAGATTGTAAGCAACAGGGTTTATGAAGAATATTATCATTGGAAATAATGCTGTTTTCATGATCACTAGATCACAATACTTCTGGTTATGTCTTCTGTTGCCATTGAAGCAGCCTTTATACACAAATGGATGTGAGTAAGGATGGTCAGGGGGTCTCTGCACTCCAACAGGACTCCCAGGGGAGGGGATGCTATAAAAAAATTAATATTGAATTTAAAACTCTTAACGAGACAAGTTCAGCTGAGGTGGCTCAGAACAAGCAGCCAATTACGAGCTATAAATATGCTGAAAAAAAGTTACTTTGTTTTAGATAATAATGATTATTATAGAAGCTATAAAAATGCTTTTCTTTTCAATTCCACAAGCTCCTTGGGATGTGGTCTGGAAGGTGTTGCTCACCAGAGGTTAGACTGTACCTACTTTCTGACTTTTGACTTATTTTCTTCTTGTTTAGATCCCTCCTACCAGACCTTGTGGAAGAACTTGTGAGAAAAGCAATAGATCCACTCTTCCCTAAGCACAACAACAACGAGCCCGGAAACAACTGTCACTCTGACAGCAAAAAATGTTGCAGTCCATCTGGAGGATTTTTTAAAAAGATTTAGATATTTAGGATATTTGGAAATCTTGTTTCTTAAAGAAATTAAATCAGCATGCAAGGAAAGTAGTGTCCGATAGCCCGGGGCTAGTGGATTTTGCTATCGGGCTAGTGCATTCTGACCAATACTGTTATTAACTTGGCCGACGGGCAAGTGACGTTTTTTGAGAAATTCAAATTACAGAACAACTGTGAAATCAATCTACTCATCAAAACGTTTTTGGGGCTAGTTGAAATGATGTTTAGGCTAGTAAATGTTAGATTGAACTTGCCCGAAGGGCAAGCTGTAAAAATGACTTTCTTTGCACTCTGATTAAATGCTTCTGTCTTGTTTGTAGTTGAGGGATACCATGGAGTAAATAAGACAGTATAATACTAGTAAAAATTACATTCTTGTTTCAGTTGAAAACTGTCATCTTTCATTTATTTCCAGCCATGAACAAGTCCTGACCTTCACTTAGGGCACTTTCCAAAAGTCAGAACTAGCTGGCCAGACTGGTCATTTTGGAGATAAAATGTTTGAAATGTTAGTCTTCTCTAGAAATTTTTACCAAAAGCCATTTACTGTCATGCATACTATTTAGGAAAAAAACTGATCTGGCTGGATAGTCCTGAATTCTCCTTACAATTGGACTCATATAGCTGGCCAGTGCTGACAAAATGGTTAAGTTCCCTTGACAGAGGAATGGTAAAACAAGCAACAAAAAACGTGCAACTTGTTTTGTGAATTTGCTGCAAAATGAGTTGAATAGGGATGTTGGGCATTTTACCATCTACGAAAAAAAAACCTTGCAACCTTACTGTTGCAAGACAGGTTCAAACTAGCCTGTGTGGCAGGCGTTACAAATGTAAGGGGTAGGGAATTTGTGCGCCCAAAATCCCGTTTCCCTTCCCTTTTGAACGCCTGCCACACAGGCTAGTTTGAAGGTGGGTGGTAATACATGCAACATTGCTACTCAACTCATTTTGCAGCATTTTTGCAAAACAAGTTGCACATTGTTTGTTGCCTGTTTTACTGTACATTTAGCTTTAGTCATGCAATTCTGTGCTCTTTCCCAAAGAGAATCAGAACTGGACAGAATCTGCCTGTTGCATGCTTACTTGTAAAGCAAGTAATCTTTCAGTGTGGATGGAATTGCCAAGCATTTAACTTTATCACTGTAACCAGTGTGAATTGTATCCACAATGAAACATCTACAGATATCTTGTAAGGACCTTAGCCTGCATCTATATTCAAAAACCTTAATAAATTCTTTATCATCACACACCATTAACTGTCCTTTATGATTCAGATTCATTCCAACTTCCTTTCGTGAATCTTCTTCAGCAGGTTTTAAACCTGATACAATGAGTTGTGCATTGCTGCCTTCTGTTAACGACTCCAACAACACAATTTTCTCTCCCTCTGCAATAATCAGGTTTTGCCCATCATGGATAAATCCTCTCAAATTATCGATGTGATTCTCTTCTCCATCAAGCATATAATAACTAATTGTTGCTTCGTCTTGCATTTTAAATTGCTCTAATTCTTTTTTCTCTTCATCTTCATCTTCGCTTCCTTGCTCTTTTTGTTCCGAGCTAAGACTTATTTTTGCTATAATTAACGAAGAAAGGTTTTCATAATCTTCAAATTCGTATTCAGCTCGTATCACCTTACCATCTGGAGAACCGCATACCAGACCAATTCCTCCATATTCTTCATCTTCTTCAGGAAGTGGAACACAAATTTCTCTCATTTTAAGAACTTTGAAACTGTTCGAGTCCATAAATATTTCATACAAACCAGGATCCAATTCCACCGAACCTGCCACAAGAAGGCTTTTCTGCGGGGTCAAAGCGATCACTCCAGGATAGCGTAAAGACGGCACTTTTAGTTCAAGTTCGGAAGAATCAAATGTGTCTTTCTCAAGAGAGTAAATCTCAACTGATCCCCCGCCATATAGTACTGAACAGCTTACCGCAACACGATTGCCAGGTAGCAATGACATGTTGAGATCTCCATCTTGCCCGAGGTCACATTCGGCCATCACTTCTCCACTGACATGATTCCAAACGGAGATTCCTTTGCTGAAATCCATTGTCACAAATAAACCCAAAACTGGGTTGTAGGAGACACCATTTCCACTATTCACTCCTTCTGGAATCTTAACGGTGGACACACAATTGTTTGCAAGAACCTTCATATTTCCCCAAATATTTCGTTTGTACACAATGTACAGCTGGCGGGGTACACGTAAGCGCAGACTCTGTTCAAAGAGTTTTTGAAAACTTGCAAACATTCAGCCCAAGAGAGACTCAGTGAAGTATACAGGGAGTCAAATCACCAAATGAAGAGCGGAAAAACTGGGTCATTCAACTTTTCTGCTCGGTTCTCGACTTTCTGTGGGGTTTCTGTGACCAACAGTCAACATGGCCGCCATCGTAAGAAATGTGAGCGGAATCTGGGGAGAGAGCAAATTGCCTCAGGCGGGGGGGGGGGGTGGGTAGTTTGTCTAAATAAGCTACTTTTACGAGTCAGGCGAGTCTAAAAGCAATAATTCAGCGAATAAGCTAAATATAGAAGGCACAAACAGAGTACTGAACGCTGGATTACGGACGAGCACAAAAGTTCTTCATGCAACAGTTAAGCTTAAATAAACAGTATACACTGGACAGTACAGGCTGTTGCGGGGAAGTGATGTTATCCGCCATCTTCTTTTTGATTTTGCAAGGTCAGCAGAACGTTACTGATAAGTCTGACAGTTTTGGGGGTGGAGCTTTACCCTTTTATAGCAAGAATTGTTTGCGCGGGACATTTGGGCTTTCAAAATGGCTTCTCGAAAAAGGCCTTCCACAAACGACAGGAAAACAGTACCCAAAAAAACAAAAAGATCTGACCCAAGCCCTCAACAAAGACAAAGATCTATAAAAGAATATTTCTCTCCGGAGAAGAAAGAGGACGGTGGAGATTTAAAAAACAATCTCTCCAGCGACGTTGTGAGGACGTCGTTGAGTCTCAACCCTAGAGAAGCAAGCGCTAACAGTTCTGTGAACAGTTCATTAATTTCTACTCCTCTTTCGTCACAGTCAGGGAGTGATCAAGCAGCTACTTCCAGCTTATCAACAAATGGTAGTTGCAATACCAGCTATCGCAGACGCCAGCGTGCTCGACTGTCAAAAGAAAACAGGTAATTTTGTTGCTTGTCGACGTGATAACGACGGACAAGCGAGAACGCCACAAACAACAGTTGGCTTTTTTTAAGCAAAACAACAATTGCACGTGCATTTCTGACACTTTTTTGTACATTTCTTTGCGGTCACTTCCCGACTACGACGTGAAAATGCCTGCATAAGTTCACTTTTTTTGGAGGACGCGTAAACATGAATAAGTTCAGCCAACGACGATTTTTCTTCTTTCTGTACTTGGATGCGGCCCGTTTCAAACGTTTTGCTACTGCCGTACCGAACTCAGTTGATTGAATTAAATTCGACTTTAGCACGGGAGTAGCGCGACGTTTGAAACCAAGTCGTGCTACTTCCGTGTAGCACGGCAAGCCTTGCCGTGCTACACGGCAGTAGCTCGACTTGGTTTCAAACGTCGTGCTACGGCCGTGCCGAACTCAATTCATAAATTATAAATACATTAGAATACATTTTAAAGTTTGCTAAACCGTTTCTTTATTTTTGTGTTTCGTTTTCAGCAACAGCTGTTCCATTCGACTGAATTAAATTCGACGTCTGAAACCAAGTCGTGCTAGTGTCGTGCTGCAGTCGAGCTACAGTCGAGCCAGCTTAGCACGGCAGTAGCACAACGTTTGAAACAGGCCTAAGGCTCTTAGAAATTCAGCTCCAGCGCATTTTACAAAGTTATTAATAATGAGTTGGAATAATCGCAAAGAAGGTTGAGAAAACGCCAATCCACTTTGTAAGCAACGTTTTCGCTACCGTCGCCGTCATCGCATCTTAGAGACCTTATAGCCAAATTCGTTGTATCGTGCTGCGCGTTTTGCAAACTTCAAAGGAATTTTGGGTTTATCTGTTCCATCAATAATCGACTGAGGGGACCTCTTAGGAAACACATGTTTACTTGCACAAGTTCAAAAGGTCATGGTTTGTGATTCGTGATTGGTGGATTTCGATCCATTTTGTTTGTTTCGTGTTTCAAGGCTTGTTGCTTTGTGACCATCCCGTTTCGGGCAATAATCGCAGATTTTTCTGATCTTTCTTATTCTTGTCACTAGCAAAAATAAAGCAACGTCTGACTCCTTCCTTTGACAAAAAATCCACTCAGCATGAATTGTGATTTGCTTCGTTATTCTTGAACAGTCTAAAGTCATTCTCAGCCAAGCTGGGTGAGGAAGTGACATTGTGATTTGCTTTAACCCTGCCTTCACTAAAATGATTGACAGAACAGAAAAACCCAAAATCCCTACGAAGTTTGCAATACGCGCAGCGCGATACAACGAATTTCGCTGTAAGGTCCGTCGTGTCTAGAAAATGAAAACCCAGAAAGTGATGACCTTGAAAACTGCCGGCCCAGGTAACCACCTAGAAAACGACACAGTCTGCTGGACAAGTGGTCTATATAGCCTTGATTTCAGATAAATGGAAATCGACCTAATTTCTTTATACAAAGCCCCAGCTTTCCTTGCTGTGCAAGGCTGTTGTAAACCGAATCTCCCTCATTCATTTCGCCCACCTCCAGGATAAAGCAGTCTTTCATATCCCCTTCTAAGTCCCCACACAAAGTTGTATTTGCCCAGTGCCCCGCTCCCCCTCTAGGGGATGACCAATGATAGGTGCGTTGTGGTCAAGTCCCCCAAAAACATGTCATGCAAAATTATGTTGCCAAAATTTCATCAATTTTATTTCACATTTATCATGCTTGTTTTGTCCCACTCTTAATTAAAATGTAGGAGGCATTTTGGGTGACAAATTGATTTATGTTGATAAGCCTCAAACATTTCGCTTGAAATTGTGTATTAATATTTTAAAAACAATTGTTTAGTTCTGTGCCCAGAGGTCATGGGAAACCATCTACAACAATTTTTGGGTCACATGAAAATTCATGGGAACCCACCTCCTAAATGTTTTCAGTTTTCAGAGTCATGTTATATTTTTTCTTGGCACTGGAAGCCTATAACCAGTAGCGTGCAATGCACATTGGGAGTGATTCAAGATGGTGGAGACTAGAAAATTTGTAGACGCTAAACAATGTTTTAGTTTGGTATATGAGGGGAGTTATGACCAAAAAATTGCCCTGCATAGTTATAATTAAGAATCTGCGTGGAAATTGTTGCATTGTCTACCTGTGTTATTTTGACCAGGTTGTAATTCTGAGCCATAGAATGATGTACATTTACTTGCATGTAACTTTGCACTCTTTAGATCACCAACAGACAAACTTAAACAAACTGAAGAGCAATTGACTATCATCAATCATGATGAAGATAATGGAGGAGTGGTCAAAATCATGGCTTTTGCTGGTAACTTTAAAAAGTTTGTATTTTGTGTGTGTGTGTTTGTGTGTGTGTATAGGAAATTGAACATAATATCATAACAATTTGCAGCTTCCTTTGAGTAAAATTCATCCATCATTTTCACCGACTCAAGCTTTACCAGCCAGAATAACTTAAATAATCATTAAGAAAGGTGATTGTGGTCATCTCCACAGTGGCTGTCTCATATGGAATTTTCACACACTTGTGTGGATCTCCAATTTCACTATCCAATTCAACTCTTTATGATATATATGGATACTGATGCAGCTGCAATTAAACAATTATTGTGTTTAATATTAGTATTATTATTCTTTTGCGCACATCAGTCAGGAACCTTTTTACTTGTCAGAGAAAAGATTCTTTTTGATTTCTGGAAGCATATCGCGTGCTTATAAATTTATTGGCAAAATTTTTGGTGGGTCAGCCAGAACTGTCATCAATCAAAATTGATTGACGGTGAATCATTTTTCAGCCAATGGTAGTTACTTCATCTGGGGAAAGCAGAGATGAAAATCCTTCAGTGATCGTTGCAAGCTCTCCTTTTCCTCTGTCCCTTGTGGCTTTGCCTCTTGCTTACACATTCTCTTGTGCAAAATGGGGAGTCTACTTGCAGGCATAATTCACAGGATCTATGTCTGGGATGCTTAATGGGAAAGTTACGAGTGTTTTTACAGATGTTTTTATTGCCTTGTAATATATTATTGATTGATAAGCAAATTTGTCTATCAGTCATTGAATACGTCTGTTTATTCATCCATATTCTTTACTTTAGATTTTTTTCTCTCTGATTTTGAGGATTTGTTTTTGGAGGTGATTTTTCACAAGTATAAATGGTTTTGTTGAGTCACTTGAAAAACTAAATGAGTTGATTTTAAAATGATACCCCCACTATAAGTGTAGGAATGTTGGCCATCAGAAATTGTCTGATTTAAATTTGCTCCTGTCCGACGAATCGTAACCATTATCAGGCAATCATTCTGCAGTTGAATAAAAGAAAACAACATTGGTGTAGAGTGAACATACAGTATGGTAGTTATCTACAAATCTGGCATCTACGTACCATGTATGATTTTTGTTAAAGTACCCATCACCGAAAATTTTTTATTTTCTGATCGGAAACTATACCTTATTAAAATAACTTCTGCGAAAAAATTTTGCAGTTTGAACAAAACGCGATTTTTTTCCAATTTTTGAAGTCTACATTTTTGCGGTACACCCGCGACGCTGGTCACGCAAACTACCAGGCTCACATATGACGTCATGTGACGTAAATTAAGGAACTCGCCTTCATCAGCTGTACACAAGAAAGATCAATTACAAGTAAGGATTGAATCATAATGTCTTCGTAAGAAGAAAGTTTTTCTGAAACAGAAAAACCTACCAGAAATCTTAATGTTTTCCTGTCGATAAAGTCACGTGTTCCTTAAAGTACGTCATATAATGTCATACTCCGAGAGAAGACTAAGACGAATGGTGTGCCAAAATGGCGGAAAATTTGAATGCTTTTAAAAATTCTAAAAAAATCGTTTTTGGTTCAAATCGCAAAATTTTTTGGCAGAAGTTATTTTATTAAGGTGTAGTTTCAGATAAGAAAATATAAAATTTTAGGTTATGGGCACTTTAAAAAAGCACAATGTGGCCTTGATTAAGTCCAATCTCATTCTCCTCCAACAAAAAATGTTGACTCGGCTGGACGTAATTTATGTCCTTTCAACAAAGAAAGAGTATTTACAGCTCTGCTCTCAACTAGAAAAAGAAGCTGTTCTAATTAAGTGTATTTAATTTGAAGAATCTGCTAATTTTAGCTTTTACTTTTACCAAGTTATTTCTCTTTTATGAGGAATTCTAAGAAATAAGCATAGTATAAATTGTGCCTCATAAAGTGTCTTTGCCAGAAAGAGTTCAATTTCATAATTTTTTATTATTATTATTTTTGGGTGATTTTTACAGGAACTGGCAAAACAACAACACTAGTTTTATATACAAAGGAAAAGCCAGACAAGCATTTCCTTTATGTGGCTTACAACAAGTAAGTACTAATAAATTAGATTTTGCACTTTTCACACAATAGGCTGTTGAGAAGTGGTATTTGACTATAATTTGCAGTGCTGTTGCAGCACAAAAAGATCCTGCTGACACAAAATTATGGAGCAGCAAGGCATAATATGCCATCTTTGATACACTAGCTTTGGACAAAATTTCATCTGAAGTGGCCAAACAAGGCACCAAGTGTGAAAACTAAGAAGAGATGGTGCTGGTGATTTGCCTACAGTCTGTACGTGTGATACATATATATGTTGTATTTTTATATTCCTGGTATAGATGAAAATAAACATGATGCAAAACAAGATTGCTCACACTTTGCTCAGTCACATTGTCACTCAGCAATATCAATTTGCATTCTTTGTTGTGGTGAATGTGCATAGCACACTGCCAAGATGCAGGGTTTTCAATAAGAACTCAGTTAGCTGGCAAAATTTGCCTGCTATATTTAACGTGAACTCGCTGCCTACTTTTCTCGGAAATTACCTCAGTTTAAGTCGTGTATTCATGTGCTTCACTGAATTAAAAAAAAAAAAATTAATGATGTCTGTGTTTTGTTCAAACACTCTAATAATTTGTGCTCCAGAGGCCAAGATTTCAAAATTTTTCCAGAAACTTCATGCCTTTGGTGCTTGCAAGTTGCACCTTATATAGTGAATTTGAGAAGAAAATGGTGATGAATGTGATTATCTTTGTTTTGATCATTATTTTGTGTGTGCAGGTATACTATCACAGGATACCGGTACTTATTACTAGGGGTGTGTTCCTTTGAGTGAAATAAAAAACGCTTCCGTCTTTCTCCTGGGAATGTGAATAAACAAAACTACCGGTATTTATTGGTAGGGGTCATTTAGATGTCATTTGCCATTTTGGATTGTTAATTTCCCCAACAATAATTTCTATCATTTAGGCCCTAAATTCTTGATACACTTACTATAGCTGACAACCCCTGCATCTAGGAAAAAAAATATTATTATTATTTTATCGCGATGGGATCTGCCAGCATCAATAAAACTGGGAAGTTTATAGTTTTAGAACTTTAAGTAGTGGTCACCCATTTGGAAACTTTTTGAAACAGTACTTGACTTGGAAATAAAACGGTTATTTTCAAATTGATCTCTTAATGACAGCTGGTCACCAGAGAAGGGATCGCTATGGAGTTGACTGTATTTACGTGGCAAGAGTATTACCTAAAAAGGAAACAGTGTCTGTTCAGGGTGCAAAGAAAGTCAGGTTTACAGCCTGACACTACCCAAGCTGTACCTAGTATGTACGTACTAGCCCACAAGTCATTTCAACTAGCCCCAAAACGCTGTTTGATTAGAAGGATTGATTACAATCCTTCTGTAATTTGAATTTCCCAAAAAACAACACTTGCCCGTCGGGCAAGCTAAGAACCAAAATCACTAACCTGATAGCAAAATGCACTATATAATAAATTATAAATAAATAAATAAATGTCTTTATTGTGCATTAGATAAAAATACATATCCAATGTTACAGGATAAAAAGATTAAAAGTTCAGCTAAATTACAAACTAGTTACACTTGTCTGACATTAAATATCATAAAAGATTGTGTTTAAAAATGAATCTATTTACAAATGTGTTCTTATAACATTCGGTGTTTATCTTGGGCCTTTGGAAGCTTTTGCGTCTAAGATTGTAGGTTAGATTGTTCTTTTCTTGCGGTAAGCACACCTTCAGAGGGTGGTTATCATGCTGTTTAGCTTTTTGAAAAATTGCTTTATCTTGTTTTTTGTAGTAATGATCTAATATTTAACTGTGTAGATATAAAGCGTAACTTATAGCATGATCAGTCTAAAAATTGCTGAAGCATAATTTCTGCAACAGAGGCACCATAAACAGATAGTCCGGAGGTTATATTAGGGAGAACAATACTATAGAAGAGATAATCAATTTCTGTCTGGCTTTAGCGCTCTTTTCTACATACTCACACTACTACTACTACACTACTACACTCTCTCTATATATAGCCCCGGGCTATCGGACACAACTTTCTTTGCACGTTGCTGTTGTACTTTCCCTAAATGTAGAGACCGGTTAAGCAAAGGAATCTAGCTGGCAACATTCATGGGACCACTACATAAATTTCGTAAACAAATGCGACCACATTTTTATGCAGAAATTTGACATATTAATCAAAAACCATACAATCTGTAGGTAAAAAGGTGAATTAATTGAAATGTTGATGCAAAATGTTACTTACAAAGTTTCAGCAGTTCTAGGCACGATGTGAAACATTATCGCCAGTTGTCTTTTTGCCTGAATGTTAGCTTGTAAGGAAATAATGTCATTGGTTACATCAATCAGTTCAGTTTGAGCTTATGTTCTTGATATTTTTTCCCTTAGAGGACCACCTCCTGTAAGCAATCGCTTTGTCATGCACTGGTCAAGGGTGGTCACTTACGAGGGAGTTGACTGTATTTTATTTCCTGTTTTTCAGGGCTGCACAAGAAAATGCAGAAAGACTTTTTCCAGACAATGTTGAGTGTAAGACTCTCCATTCCCTAGCCTATGAAAAAGTAGGCTCACGGTTAGTACATAAGGGTTTAACTTTTCTTGTCTTTCTCTGCTTGCCTTATGTGTTTGCTTTTGTGAGTTATGTCTGTCAGTGTACCCTGACTCCATTTTATATAAAATATCTTAGTCTCTGAGACACAGTACTAGGAAAATTATTTGTTTAGGGCGGCCATAATGTTAACTGTGAAGCTACAAACCAAACCGTTGTAAATCAGGGATGGTAACATGATTGAGTGCTTCAGCGAAGTGTTGATTGTTTGCTTTTGCTCTGCCGATTCTTAGGCGAATGGCACTTCGGAGTTAGAAACGGGGCTCAACTTGTGTAGAAACAAGCTCTAGTTGTTGCCCTTAAACTCATGACTGGATCGGACTCAAGGAGGTCTCAGTTGTAGACTCTACCTAACATTAATTAACTGGGCTGCCTCCTCAAGGAGGTACGCCCACTTTACAAAATGGGTCGATTCTGAATTCTCCGTCAAAAAATGAACACAATAATTAATCCACTAACCTAGAGGGTTATCTTATTAACCCGTAACCCAGACGGTGTTGCCTGATCCATAAAGCATGTTGGTCCACCTTGGCTGAGTCTGTGGAAAGATTGATTGTTTTCTGTTTAGTACAATAGGGTTTAGTGACTGAGCATTTTTGAGGTTACAGTTGCTCTCAACGTGGCTAGTGTGCTATTGACCGTTTGATCTATTTATTTGTTGTTTAAGTACTTGATGGAAAAAACCTGTCAGTAATCTTTAAACTTTCCGCGGTCGAAAATTGTAAACGAACTTATTCCCTTTCTATTAGACTGAAGAAAGATAACCATTTGAAATAAATGCTTAACCCTAATCACTAAAATGAATGCTTACTAAAACGCGAGTTTATTTTCAAGACACCGTATTTTACAAGGAGAGGTACAAATAAATGAGCACGAGTTAAGTCGGTGTTAAAAATTTCTAACTAGTTTGAAAAATTCAAACCAGTTTGAAAAATTTAAACTGGTTTTAAAACAATTCAAAACAAAGATTAAATTTGAACCACAACAAAGACACGTCCTATTATGAAACAATGCATGAAAAACATACTTTCATGCTTGCTTACTCAGCATTTTAAGTCATATTTAATTCCGGACTGTAACAATGGCTATTTATCAACTTAGAACTAACAGGTCACGTTTAGGTGAACTAAGTGTCACACTTATTTTTCAACTTTACTACCAACACTCTTTTCATGGCTTGTTAGCACTGGGTTTTTTTTTGTTTCATTATATTCAGCTGGGATCGATCATAAAAGGCCTAAAAGATTATTTCACCCTAAATACTCAAATGTTTTTTTTCCATTTCTAAACAGCCTCAATTTTGATCTCTGAATGAAGTAGCATATAAAATGTGACTTGATTTTTTGAATTAATTTACAGAGTGACTTTCCTATTTGGCATTTTATTTGGCTTCATTACAGGTACATGTATGTACGGCCAACTCTCACCTTGCCAACACCACGATAATACGGACAGCAGTTAAATTCTAGGCAAAAAAATTTGCAGAAGTTTGACTGATATATACTCCCGCTATTACGGACTCTCTGCAAAGGGAATTGACTGTCCTTGTATTTTTTCATTTCATTACTTGACACTTTCTTGGAAATCTATAATTACAGTTGACTGCCGATAACTCGAACCCTCGTTAACTTGAACCTGGCGCTAACTCGAACCAAAATCGCTTTTCCCTGGATTTCCATCATACATTTACTGTAATTTTACCCATGGTAACTCGAACCCTCGATAACTCGAACCTCCCACTAACTCAAAGTAATTTTTGTTTCCCCTCAGATCATTTCTATATAATTTTACCCTCAACAACTCGAACCATGTTTTGAGCCCTTAATTAGTCTGGAAAAAA